CGGTGAAAATCGCGTGAGCATATTCATGCATATTAGCGAAAGTGGAGAGAGAATTTTAATGTCCCAAGTATCTAACCACTTCACTTACGATCCAGGAAGAAGTGTAACAACTAAATGGTGAAAGTCTCCGGAAATGTTTCGTCATGCGACGAGGACTTTCCATGAAGAGATCAAGTAGAGCTGCAGGGAGATTTATATTGGACATGGCGAACGGAAAGAAACATAGGCGAAAATGCTTATTGATGTTGAACAATAGATTACTCTCAATCTTATTGCATGTTACGTTTTCACCAGTTGGGTCCTATTGATGGGAGGAAATCTTCATTGCACGATTTGATTGTGAATATTTGCAATGGTAATCTGAGAAACACCAGGATGATCACCAATTGCAATAGCAGAGAATGAACCCCCTATGTGCACATTTGTGAATAAGTCCTTAAGATCAAGATCACGAGACAAACCCAGCTTGTAAGCTGTAGTGTGCAGCAAGCAGTCTGCGAAAATCTGTCTTTGCAACAGAGTCTTGTATTTCATTCTCTGCCAAAAGAGTTGCACCACATTAGTCAAGTTTCTTCAACGCTTTCTCTACGTGAAGTACTGTGACTACCTCTCTACGAGACTAATGTAGAACTAATCATTCATACTTTCCACTGTCACGCAGTATGGCATCAACGATGAGACCAAATTCTATACAAATTCCACTTCATAATCATTTTAACATAACATAGAAACAATGGTAACTGCATCACGGGAAAACCTGCTCATATACCATCTTTCGATAGCCATGCCTAACGTCGACCTTCCAGTCATGGCGAAGTGATAATGCAATACCACAGGAAAAACCGGGGTACTAAACAAAATTTGCAACTAAAACACATGATTCAGCCTCATGACGCGTCACAAACTTGTGAGGTCGTCACGGGCCGCTACTCCAGAGGAGTATCAGCCTGGTCGCGACGGTATGCAAGAACATCCTCGGGCTGCGAGGCGGTGGTGGAGTTTCTAGGATCCAGAATCTGCTCGGGGTTGGCTAGCTTGCTACTCTGGTTAGGGTTCTGGCGCAGCTCGACGTTACCGCTCTGCGTCTCGTGAATCTCCGGCGTCCGGTGCAGAGCAGTGGTGGGATTTGGCTGCTCACCCTCGAGGCTCGGCCTTTCCCGCATCTCTCCAGACCTCTCCAGAGTTGGCTCGCCAGAGGCCATGTCCACTATCAACGAATTCCTCGAAAACTCGAAAACTAACGAACTGAAACAAATATTCCGAGGTGGGCTAGAGAGCTGTGGCAGCAGCGGTGAGAACAGATGCTAATGAGACGCAATGCGAGAAGTACAATGGAGACGCGACGATCGAAGGAACGAGTGCGGAAAAGCTTGAAGAAGCGGCAAAGTAAGTCGAGTTGGGGATGGATGAGACCTAGGAAAACGAGAATGCCAGTTGGGCGCCACTTGGGATATTTAAATTCTTGCCATCTGGGTCTTTCTGTGACTACCATGTGGACGTGGTCACAGGGGGAATTGTGGCTGTGTGTGACCGTGGATACACACAACGATCACGTTTTGTTTCAGGCGATGCCTCGAGCACTGTGATGTCTCATTGGCAAGGTTAATTATTTTTCAAGCTGATTGTTTTTCGAATGATGTAGACTCAATTATTGTTAAGAGATTACTTCACTATTTATTTATTTATTTATTTACAAGATGATCAAACATTGTACATTCTTAGAGTGCTCATTAGTAGCCATTTTGGAAGTAAATAAGTTTAAAGAAGATTTTGGTTAAAGATTTGGAGTTTATTAAAAGCATCTTGAATCTTAAAAACTACAATTTTAGTGTTATTTAGCAGGTCTTGATTATACCTATGTTACATGTCACTAAGTCAAATCACAAGTGCAATTGAAGTTAAAATACAAAATTCGGCTCGAAATTATTTGGAAATTGATTTTAGTAACTAAACTATTAAAAATAAGTAAAAGATATAATGATTAAATTTAAGATTTTTATATCATTAAGTTTATTGCATCAAAACATAAAAGATGATATTATATTGCATTGAATCAATTTGATCAATCCACTATCTAAAAAGGTTATGGAATGAAAAAGAATCAATAATAAAATGATACAAGTTTATAATAATCTTTGAATTTTTTAACAAAATAATCTTAATGTGATTATACAAATCATTATTAATTTGACCAAATTAAAAAATCATATATATATATATATATATATTAAATATTATTTTATATTTATGTGGTTCTACAAGTTTATTAATGCACAAAATATTGAACCAAAATTATCTAAAGTATTGACATTAATTTATTGGTTTATTTTTAATATATATATATATATATATATATATATATTTTAAAAAATCTTAATGATATAAGAGTGGATTTTTAAATTTTAGAAGAAAATATGTTAAATATTGCCAATGAGGTGGATTTTAGTTGTATTGCTCTTATATATATATATATATATATAGACATAGATATTAAAGTAATATATTTTTTTCTTTTTCTTTTTTTGAAATAACAAATAACCAAAATCTCTTCAAAGATAAATATTAAATAAAATTAATGTAATATCAATGAAAATGTGATAATTTATAATTATACAAAAATGATTAACTTTTCATCTCATTTTAATAAAATAATGTAGCAAATTTTATTTTGATTTTGTGTTTGAATATTGAATATATTCTATAGAACATCATACAAAAAAATTATGAATTTTTTGCAAAAATATATCATTAGAATGTTATAAATTAACTATATGAACATGCAAAGATACAATTATAAATTTGTTTGAGCCACAAGATAAACATGACTTAAGAGAGAAATTTCTAAGAATAAAAATGACTTTATTCTTACTACTTTATATTCTTTGCAATTTTAGATATTTTTTGTTCAAGTTGTTGTGGCCTTGTCACTCACAAAAGTTTTTAAGAAGCTTTAGAACTAGTGTTGTTTTGCTAAGTTGCTAGAAGAAATATTCTAAGAAGACTTATTATAGAAGCCTTCTCTTACAAACCTTTAAAAAAAGTATGCAATTATCTAAAAGAATTAAAATTTAAAAAACATAGAGGATTTTAGTAGGACTTTGAAGTCTATGTCTATGGGATTTTATTTTTTATTTATTTTATTTTGTTAGTATTTCATGTAAAAATATTACTAATATATATTAATAAGAAAAACATAATATATATATAATTCGTATAAGATCTAAGCTAAATTATTATCAATATTAAGTGAATATTTTTTAATATAAAAGAGTAGATAAATTTCACACTATTATATTATTGATTACATTGTGTAAAATATGTATGTTTTGACATCCTAGTATTTCATTATTTTAAATTACATAATAAAGTAATAAAGAAATAAAGAAATATGAATTCAAAGATACCTTCTAATTGGCTGCATTCTTCAATGTTAATTGTTTTCATCAAAACTTTTGTTTCATTGTTTTCATCAAAACTGAACTTAACTTGCCAATTCACATGGCCTTAATAGAACCATTCATAGACTAAGGAGCTTGGTAAGAAGATGATTGTAGCTTTCTTTAGAACCTTAAGGTTTCTTTTATGTGCATTCTTTGTTTTGTCAAGATATAGGTGAATTTTAGTACTAAGTAGTGCCTTTCCAATTCTTTGTATGATGGCTTATTTTGTTAATGCATGATACCTTTCATGGTTGGAAAATGTTTGAGCATGTCAAGAGGAGTAGTTTTCATTACTTTTGCTTCTATACAATTTTGAACAATGGGAATGACCTGATTCTGATTGCTAAAATGGTGATTCATCTGATATCCAAATAAGACTGTGGATTACAACTGTTCTGCTTTTATAAAGTCAAAATTGCATTGCTGTGCACAAAGCACAGATCCATCATTTGGAGCCAAAAACCCAAAGGGATTTGAAACATTTCAGCAGCAGTTCCATATTCTCAAGCCTCAAGTGTCACTAGATTGTATTCTTTTATTTCTTCTATCTTGGACAAAAATTTATTTTTATTTTTATTTTTTTGCATTTCATGATCTATTTATTATCTTCCCTTATCTCTCTCTCTCTCTCTCTCTCTCTCTCTACCTTTTGCGTTTTTATTTAGTTATTACTTATGATTTCATTCTCTAGATGTTTTCTCCTCAAGAACCCCGTTGAATTTGTTCTCATATGTTTCGTGACAATGGCACGGGTTCAACAAGTAATAGTACAATCAATACTTGAATATATGTATACATACATACATACATACATACATATACACAAAATAAATAGTTTTGGTATCATTCTGAAACATTTATTTATGGACAATCCCATCAATAATTAGAAATATAACATGTTGGAGTTATGTGCACATCCAAGTTAGAAAGTGATCCTTCATTCAATTTTTTTTTATATATATATATATATATATATAATAATAAAGTTTTGGGGGAGGGAGGGAGGGGGAGGCTGGAAGAGAAAAAGGTTCCCCCTGAACGAGGGGACCCCGTCAAAAATTTGAATTGACAATTACTAGTTTAAAAATTCGAGACGATGTTCACGAATCTCCTCTCGACATGCATCCACGAATCAGATCCTACCCCGCCCCCGCCCCCACGACTACTAGATTGGCACGTGGCACACAGGACTCCTCCCGAATTCCGACCACTTGTGAAGGGTCTCCCTCGGGAGCATCAATCAGTGCCCTCCACGTGGTTGCGACAGCGCTGGGGAATTGTCACGTAAGCACCCATGATGTAACGTTTTCACGAAAGCAGGTCTCGAGGAAATGGGACCGTCCGCTGCATTTCGAGGAAGATCGTGGCCGTCAATTTAATCTGACGTGCGGAAGATTAACCTGATTCATTATATCCTGGTCAATTCCAGCCGTGGATTTCAATTGACCTCTCCGTCATCGTTAGATGTCATTCAGAGTGATGAATGATAATTGTTGGATGTAGACGGATATGGATGAATTAGTTGGTTATCTTAAGGTGGCTGGTCGGGGGGGGGGGGGGGGGGTTGGGTGTGTGCAGAGGCCATTGAAGTAACTCAAGCATGGCGCCGTGTTGACGACGCGCAAGTATTGACGGACAATTCCGGCGCAGGGATCTCCCCGTGCAGATCGCCAACGCAGAGGTGTGCGGCCGGAACATTGTGATCCGATTTCGCATAGGGTACTCGTTAAACTTTTTTGGGTCTGCTGGTATTGGGGTCCTTCTGGTAGTGAAGGAGTGGTGTTGATAGCGGCTTTTCGGGGATCTGGCTGACGCTGATTATGTGGTAGTGTTTGACGCCGCCGCCGCGGGAGGAGTACGCGGAAGCTGAAAAGTTGTGTGAATCCGAGCGCGTGAGAGGCGCTTGAATTTCTTGTGGTTTTGAAGCGAAGGTTTATTTGTTTTTGTTTTGTTTTGTTTTGTTTTTTCCAGTTAAATAAGGTGCCATTATTCGTGAATGGCGGATGCACTTGAACCAGGAGAGTTTCGCCGTGTAAAAGCAGTATGTCTGGTGGGTGTCGTTTGTAGCGTGCACTCTGCTGCGCGTTTGTGGTGAAGTTTGGGTGGGAGGCACAGCAGGGCTTTGGTGATTGAGACTGAAACGTATTTGCGGTAATGGAAATTTGTAAACCATTGGACAATGTGTCGCCCAAGGTTGTTTGCTTTATGTTGTTTCTGTACTGTGAAAGCCCTAATTTGTACTGTTATCAGGGGGATTGTGATTGAAGAATCCTTGTCGCGGCGTCCACGTTGGAGCTTATGTTATTGCCAGGTGAAGAAGATGAGATTTTACGGAAGGGCTTGAACACTTTTTGCTGCCTTGGTAGCCATATCAATGGGATGTGGTGGATAGCTTGAAAGTGAAATTGCCAATGTCTCAACAGTGATGCATGTTTCTGAGGGATTTCTGGACCGGAATGGACTGGCTAGTGCTAGGTCGCTGCGTATCGGATTATATTTTCCTCAGTCTAAGGACAATACATTGCTGACTTCATTGCGAGCTGATCACAAGTTACCATGCAACCGCGATTTGTCCACCCAACTGCTTCGAGTATAGGTGGCAGTTGTTATCATGGTGTTACATGGTCCGTCGAGAAAGGTTGATTCCTCGCCTGTCTACCATGTGTAGACGGAGAAGCCAGAAGAGGGGTTCGAGAAAGTAGCGGGACTGAGGTGCTGGTCTTCTGTTGAAGGACCAAGGAAGAGTTTCTAGGGTTGAAGTTGAACGAAGTAGTTAATTCTAATTCTTATACGTGTCTCAATTTGACCCTTCCCTGAGAAGAAAGGCGATTTCTAATCTTTTCGACGACTAGATTTCGTATTAAATATGCGATATTGATTACATTTATCCGTCCACACACGTGAAGCAGATTGTGCAAGCAAGATGTCTGAAGATAAGCTCGGATGCAACAGCGTGTGGAATGGAGATTGTTGTGTCCGCGAAGGTGACGCAGTATGCAATGGCAAGGCCTCGAAGGGCCTGTTTCTGAATCTTATGCCCAAAAGTGATTCGCGTTCCCTGAGCACACTTTTCTTCCTTGGTTTACCACTAGCGCTCCTCTCTGCTATTATGGTATTGATACCTTGTGTCATGGTGCACAAACCCGAGATGTTCTGGTATTTGCCGTTCAGCTATGGCAAGATAGTTCCGCCAGTTTCGAAGAAGTATGCTGTAATCTTCGATGCTGGCAGCTCTGGCAGCCGGATCCACATTTACTGTTTCGATCCGAACTATGAGCTGGTCAAAGTAGGTAACGAGCTGGAGATTTTCATGCACTCAGAACCAGGATTGAGCGATTTTGCCAAGGATCCCCGAAAAGGAGCGGAGTCGCTGCGGCCTATGCTGGAAGAAGCCTTGCGAGTGATACCTGCAGAGCAACATTCTACAACACCGCTGCGACTTGGAGCGACAGCTGGATTAAGACTACTCCCTGGGGATGAAGCTGTAAATCTTTTGAAGGAAGTACGCACGCTGTTGGGTAGTAGCGGCTTTATGTTTCAGCCAGAATGGGTGAATATCATCGATGGAACACAGGAAGGCTCGTACCAGTGGGTGACAACTAACTACCTTCGTGGAAGTCTTGGTAGAAGATTGGATGAGACTGTGGGGATCGTGGACTTGGGTGGGGGCTCAGTGCAAATGGCGTATGCCATATCAGATGAAGATTACATCAATGCTCCTAAGGCTGGAAAGGATGAAGTCGCGAGCGTCCAGCAAGTCAAGCTTCTAAATATGACCTACAATCTCTATGTTCACAGTTATTTACATTATGGCCTGCTGGCCTTTCGTGCGGAAGTGTTCAAGCACAGTGAGGGGACTACTTGTCCTTGCGTCGCAAAGGATTTCGAAGGCTCATATATGTACGCTGGAGTGAAACATATGGCCGCAGTTAGAGATGAAGGGTCTCATTACATGGACTGTCGAGCTTTGGTAGTAAAGATCCTTAACGTAGATCACGCTTGCAAGCATTTAAAATGTACATTTGGAGGCGTTTGGAATGGTGGAGGTGGAGATGGATTTAAGCAGCTCTTTGTTGCATCTTTCTTCTTTGACAAGGCAGTTGATGCTGGAATTATACGTAACAAGAAAGTTGCTTCTGCAGTCGTCGCACCAAGTGAATTTGAGCGGGCTGCCAAGAAATTCTGTAGTCTGAGTTTAGCCGAGATTGTGCAGCGATTTCCCAAGCTGAAGGAGCAGAAGAGAAAGTACATATGTTTGGATCTTGTGTACCAGTATATTCTGCTCGTCACTGGCTTTGGAATTGACCCGAATCAGAAGGTCACTCTTGTGAAGAAGATCTTGCACAGGGGTTCTGAAGTTGAAGCATCCTGGCCACTTGGGAGCGCAATAGAGCTTGTATCTGGTTATCAGTGACGCTGCACCTCCTGAGTACTGGCTCCAACCTCAGCGTTTACTCCCCCACTTCACGAAGTTTTCAAAGGACAGATGAATGGTTATTGACATTCTTATCGTGCACTTGCTCTGCTCGAGTGTTTTTCCCCTCTATTCAATTGAGATGTACAGACATTCATGAAGCTATTGCTTACTACCAGCAATATCTATTTCATTTTTTTTTTTTCGCAACATTATCCTTCCAATTTAGGTATATCCGACGTGCTTTTTATGCGTAGCGTATGGGTTTGGGAGCAAAGACAACTATTAGTTGGCATTGGAGTTGGACCCTTCGTGCTCTTCACTCCTGACTGTCTCTACCCCTAGTTTGACAATTTCATGTTGCCATTCTTGAGGGTTTACAAGACAGACACATCGTTTTGAGAGGGAGTAGGTTTCATTCTGATTTAGTGTGGTATTCGTGAATGTTGTGTACTAGTTGGTTTGTCATGACAACAACCTAGAAAGAGTAAAAACACGGACGATTTCACATCTTAGAGATGGAGACATATCGAATCTCTCCTATTGAAGTGTACTCGTATTTCGATCTGCAGACTCATATTAAGCAGAAAATGATTGATTATACAATTGACAAGTTATATTCTCAAGCCCCCTTCGTTTTTGCAGCTGCATGCCACACTAATGCAACCAAGCTAATGCTGCGTTCATCACTGTCTTGTGTCTAGTTTCTGTTGACGTGTCCAAGTGTCTCCAGTTCCGCAGCATTGCGCACGTAGCGCTCAATTACAGAAAACTACATTGTTCTCTGCTTTCTTGCTGAGGATTCGATCACTGCTCAAATTCCAGCAATTAATTTCACCTTTGCTTTGTTCCAAACTCGACTGAGTACTCATTTGCAAGTTCAAGCTATTTTACAGTCACGTGCGACTAATGCGTCCCAGTAAAATTTCTCTAACCAATCTCCTCACAATTTAATTACTACATGTTTCTGCAAAAATCCATAAGATTGGTAATGTTAGACACTTTCAGGTGAAATCAACTTACTCCCGACAGCAAGTCCATTCTGTTAATGCAGAATTTGATTTTGCGTGAGAGGCAGGCATAAATTTGACATGAGGAAGTTTGGGGAATAACCCAGCATGCTTCAGCTTTCAGGCCAACTTGTGTGTATAGTCCTCTTCCAGAATACTGTAATGAATTATTCTCGCATTCTTGTAGATCATTGCTCAGCTTTTGATGGTTGAACGTCGAATGGCCTCTGTTGATGTTACGTTTAATGGTACAATTCCAGAACAATGGCATCATTGCACATGTTTCAATGACAACATTTAACAGGTTTTCAATTCTGAAAGTAATGTTCGGAATCTAATATTATATATTATTCGTAAAAGAAAGACCACTCTACGAGAAAAGATTTTGGCCAGGTTAAGACAAACTCCGATTGAAACCACTACTTTTTCATGTGTTGAGTTTCTAAAAATGTCTCAGTACGAGAATTCAAGCTCAATCATGTAAATCAGCATGCAGATGGCTCAAAGGTTTTGGCAGCGCGGGGAGCTCTTGACCCCGTAGAATAGTCGTCTGCTCAGGTCCACCTCAAGGGACTTCCCGAAGAACCCCGACAAGAATTCCTCACCGAAACGCTGTGAAAACTATTGACCATTCTTCCACAGCTTGCCTTTCAAGAGGCTGGGTTGTTACCTGTCCTGGTTACACCAGTTCAGCAGCGAAACTCCCAACTACTGATTGGTGACACATCCCCTCCATATTCGCTTCGCATGTGCGGATTGCACTGCTGACAAAGCTAGTGATGCAGTCACGCAACACGCATCATGTCTTCCATGTAACCTGCTAATGCAATCTACGCCCTCTCGTGGTTGGAGACTTCAGTTTCGAAGTCATAATCTGGAAATCATTCGTCCAGCTAGTGATTCCCCTCAACAACACTGGGTGCTCTCCCTCTACAAATGAAAGCTGTTTTTAACATTGCAATGAAGCTCGAAAAGGTTGAAAGTCTGATCAGTGTCCCACCCACCCACAAGAAGCTTCTGTGCGTCGGCTTCCAGGGCATGAATTTTTCAGTTGTTTCTCTTCACGGTTGTGGCGCTGATTCGTTCGAGTTTCAAATGAGAAATCACCGAATCCCTGCCTATTGGGCTCTAGAAAGGATCCACTGCATGGTGATCGTCTGTGGCGGTTGTGCTAGTTTCTAGAAGTTGACGTTAACTTCGAGGAGATGACTGACTTCGCTTTAGAAATACCAAATATTGGTTTTGGCCCGTTTCAAAACTAAGTTTGCGAGGAATAAGTAAAACGGAAACAGTATCATATATTGTAAAGCTCCCAGAATGTTGTGGCGATTGCGACCATTTGACCACAAATGCGACCGTCTGTACTCATCGACCTCAAGGAACTAAAACGTGGACATAAATGTTTGGGGATCAAATGTAGAATACGTTCGAATGATACGTTGCCCAAGAGTTGGAGTAGATGCTTAATCCTGAACCCCAAATACCATGCCACGAGAAACGAAGAAAACATGAGCGCAGATCTTGTGACAATAATTGTAGGAATTCCTGCAATATCGTGCTACTTTTGATCGAGATATATCCGTGATAATTTCCGACGGTTGTAGTGCTTCTAGCAGGTTTGAATTACATGCATTTTGAGAAAAGAATCGGAGCTTCAAGAACTATCTCACGGATTGGAACACCGACAATCACCATACTTCCGAGAATAAACTCACGAGTTTGAATTCTTCAAGCTTTCCAGCAGCGATGTCGCATCCAACTGAAGAAATGAAAATAACAAATGCCAGTACTAATTAATCTCAGTGCCACGTTCAACAGAGCCCACTTTTTGATCAGCTCGAAAAGATCATTATATGCTATTGTGGACTACCTTCGCTCTATCGTGCTCCTAGTGCGAATACTTCGAGTGAATAAATTACGAATGTGTGTTGCATGTTGTTGCTCAAGCCCGATAGTGTACTTGTATAAAGTGCGCCGCGTTGGCCGGTTCTAGACCTGGATAAAAAGACAACTCCGATGATCCAAGCTGGTGGCTGGTGGCAGCAAGAACCGATGATAAGTCAACAATCTCTCTCTATCTCTTTGCACAGTTCTTTCTATTACTTGAGGACATTTAATATCTCCCACTAATCACTACGCAAACATGAGCTATGCTTGAGTGTTATTTTCAGAACTGGTATTCAAATATGGGTGACTGGATTGTACGCGCCGCTGCTGAAATGTGAGATTTGAAACAAGTTATGTCTTGGCAATAGCTGAAAAAAACTAATCCTGGAAAGCTCCATAGATTATCAAGCCCCCAGATCTCGATAACGCCGGCGCTATCCGCAGCTGTGGAGGGGATATTGATTTCGCCGATGTTGGGAGACATTGGAATATATATATTTCTTTCAATCCATGCAAGAGCTTGTGGACCCCCTCTTCCTGACACTCTACCGGTTGCTCCTCCTCCTTTAACTTCACAGTGGCATCGAGGTTGATAATCTTGGGGTTAACAGAGTCCAGGACAGGGGTTGTAGCGTTGTCGCCTTTATTTTTTCGCCTCGCCAGGATCTTCGGCACTCTTAGCAACATTCCATGCAATGATCGCCCATTGCAGATTCGCCGGAGGTCGGGTATCCTGGTTATTCCCCCTGCCCAAACATCCTTGACCGTGGTGATTCATAAACCCCGCCATTTCGTCTGAGGGACTGTTTAATTGGGATTCCTTCTGGTGGGGGATTCCCCGTCAAAAACTTTGAGGATTCTTCCTTAAAGGACGATTGCGGGAGCTCTAATCTGCGAGGTTGCCATTGCTTGCCTGGACGATCCTGCAGCTCTGCGACACTCATGGTTGGGGTTTGAGGTGTAAAATGAGGAGGAGCGTTTAAAATGCACTCGGAGCGATCTAGTCGTGTGCGGAGCGAGGCGGCAACAGAGTAATTCAGAGAATTGGCCAAGGAGTTTGGGGTAGCGGCGGCTGCTTGAACCTCTCGAGGAGATGGACATACTGGCAATGATGAGGGCAGCGAGTCTGGAAAGTTAAGCGTTGCCTTTGGCCCCGCAAACAAACCACGGCGGCATCTTAAGCTCTTGCTGCCATTTAGGCTGTGGGAAATGAACCTAGCCAAATGCGTGACCGCTTGTTCGGCTCGCGAATCTCTGAGACCCATTTACCCCACGCAGCATGCGCACTCCCCTGTACTTGAGGACGGGAAGAGTGACAATCTCAGAGGCCTTCTGATCACTGGTGGAAGAGGACCCCGCCTGGGAATCGTTCATCGAGTTCTTCGAGCTCATGACTTTTATCTTCCCTTCGCTGAGTTTCAAAGACACAGAGCCCCGGAAGAAACCATGATCTCAGTTAATTTGAGAGAAAGTGATCAGTGCTCGACAAGATTCTATACTAGATTTTTTTTTCAATACTAATTTCTTTAGAGCCTAAGAGGAAGGTGAGTGCCTTGTCTACAAGGTGAGCATTGGCCGTTACTTTGAAGAAAAGCAAAACATTTCAGTCCTAATCATCAAATGCTATTTCTTGAACACAATCAAAATGAAATGTTACAACTTTCTAAAATTAATTTATCACTCTTTTGTGTTTCTTTTGTAACTTTTTTTAAATTTGCTTGGATTGGTTAAAGTTTGATTAAGATTATCAATGAATACTTAAAGTTTATTTAAGATATTATTAGACCTGATAGTATTGTTGTGCATTTCTACTTATCTTCCTCAATTAAGTCTCGATGCATTCTCAAGGAAGAATACACGTAATACAACAACATATTGATAGCTTATGGTATAGGCTAACAATGTGGTGCATATATAGATAACTTATCTTGCAAGTCAAGACATGTGTCTCGTAAATTGGACATGTGTTGGAGGTCCTATAGAATGTCACCATTTAGCTTTTAGATAGATAGTATATATAGAAACAAAAGTAAAGTCTTCTTTACTCTTGCCAATTTCTTTCTTGCTTCCAATCTAGTTTTAAGAATGTCTAGATTTTAAATCTTTAGCAATAGCCATTCTATTTTTTTTTTGAATATATGTACTTTTTTACTATTATTTTTTCATCTCTCTTAGATACTTATCTCATTTTTTTATGTATCTTTTTTTGAAATCTTGTCCTTGATGAATTAATAAGAGTGCTAATTTATTGTTTTTATCTTATTTTAGAAGAGAGTGGATTATCCTACTTCTAATATTATATTTAAAAGATTACGGATTATCCACCTGTCAAAGACATGAATCTCAAGGAAAACAAATTCTTAATACACTCATGTATAATTGAAAGGAACTAGAAAGTCACTCAAAGATGATATAATATTGAACTAGAATGGCTATTGCCAAAAATAAAAAGACTAAAAAGTCTTGAAACAAGACTTGGACTAGATAAATTCTATGAAGAGCGATTTTCATACGTTGAAGAAATCTAAGATGCAAAAAATTGTATTTGCCACATACTTTGATCTTTGTTCTCTTCAAAGATGGTTGATAGATCCTCTCAGCCATCAATAGTGTCTTATACTAGGACAAAAAGACCACCATGTTATTTAATCGTTGTTGAGGCCTTCGTAACTTCTTTCAAATAAAATATTTAGAACACCATCAGAAGTTATTTCTATCTCTAATAAAAT